CTGAAAGATCTCAACCACTGAGCTACCATTCCAGCCCAAGCTTGTACTTTTATATCTTATTACTCTGCCCAAACCAAGTAGATCTCACTGGGTCTGTTACCTACTTCTCTGGCTAGGGACTCTGACCTGAGATATTATGATCAGAGTTGAAAACATCCTCCCCCCCATCTTGTGCATCATCCCTTCCCTCTTGAAAACTCCAGCAACACACAAACTTGGTTTCTCTGCTTATCTGGCTTTGAGGTACTGCCTCTCTGAGTCACAGTCTCCTCTGTAAAGACAACTGGGACTGCCCATGCTACCCATAACCCTCGACACCCATGACCCTTGGCACCCATGACCCACCCTGCAAACAACTGTTTTGTTCTGAAAAGCCTCAGAATTCCATTGCCTATGACTAAGTTCTGAGAGGGAGCAGAAACAAAGACCATGACCATAAAACTCACATCTGGCCCAGGTAAATGCTGCCATAGCAAAATAAATATAAAGTGATTGCTGATCTATAAATCCAGGGCCAACTGGTTAGGTTCTGACGCCTGGGCCCTTCTTGGCTGCTGTTCTTATGGGTCTGCAGTATCCCTTGAATTCCCACGGAGCTTAACACTAAACCTCACTGTCTGTCTGGATCCCCCAGGATGATCCTGGCTCATTGCCTCTGCTTCTTACATCTGGAACTCCAACTCTCCTAGAAACACACTGATTTTTAATTCGAAGCCATTTCCCTGACACACAGACTGAATTTAGGATGGAGAGGTAAGCGTTTGGGTCTGACTAGGAAGAGTCTCAAACACAGCACCAGGCCAGGCGATGGTGGCGCATGCCTTTAATCCCAGCACTTGGGAGGCAGAAGCTGGCAGATCTCTGTGAGTTCAAGGCCAGCCTGACCTACAAAGTGAGTTCCAAGATAGCCAGGGCTACACAGAAAAATCCTGTCTCAAAAAACCAAACCAAACCAACCGAACAACGACAACAACCAGCCCCAGAGTGGTCATCTTGGTGGGAACCGAACCCCTGCTCTCATACTTAGCGTGTGTAGCTTTTATTTCAGACACTCTAGGGTGGTGAACACCATGATGTTTTTTAAAAAGTTTCTAAGTACCTTCATGTCCTCCTGGACCCTGGAAGGCTCCCTCCAGGCTCATTTAGCTCTACTGTCAGGGAGGTAAAGGAGCCCAGTGACAGGCCTGTCTTTAAGATCTGGTTTTGCCCTGAGATGTGCCTGGGATTCCAGCTGGGGACTGGCCCTTCTGCCTTCCTGCCAGAGTCACGTGTATCTCCGCATCAGAGCCAACACGAATTCAAAAGTGGGTCTCACTGACAAGCTTTCCTCCTGTCGTCCAATCCCCGCAGCTGTCTGGGCTCTCATCTGTCCCTGTGCACACATTCTGCTGTAGTGGGTAGCTATTCCAGCTTGGTTCTGGAAGTTCCAACCCCCATTATGTTCCTTCTCAGGTCTTTGATGGGATTGAAGACTAG